AGCTTTTGCTCTGTTTGTCGTTACTCCATTCCAGCGGTTAGTCACGTACTGCAGACTGCAGCTGCTGCGGCATGATACGTTTTTCATAGGGTAAAAAATGCGCTTCAAAATTGAATTTCGTTGTTTTTCCCAACACAGCCGTGTCCTTATCATATACAGGGTGGTTCTCCGAACATGATCACACCAATGTTATCCTTTTGTTATACATTTATTTGAGTTTTTATCTTCGAAGGGGCATCAAATTGAATTGCCAATGCCATTAAGCTATACCTATATATATATTAATTTGGTACTACAATAATGTCCCATTACAATAACTATTTTATTTTTATAATAGCCTATATTATAATACGCCAAATGTGTCGTATGTATTATATAAATTATATGTGTTTTACGATCTATTAAGTAATTAAAATACTGCCCATCTATTAAAGAACATATCAAAGATATTCCTAGGAGTAAAATTATACTACAAAACCTACTGTAAATTAGTCTTTTTTTGTCAAAAGGTTAATAATTACGTGCCTTTATTTTCGTCCGTTCAGACAACCCTATAAAATAAGTTAGTTTTTTTCGTCCTTTCAAGAAGGAATTAAGCACAGTGGAGAAAGTTTATCGAACGCCATTGTGCAAGTAAAATTACTCGCGCGAAAAAGTCCACAAGCGTGCGCGCGCATTTCGAGTTGAAAATGTCAAAAGTGGCACAATAGCTACCATTACAGTTACACGTACCCCCGGGTACTCGCACATTATTCAGGTAGAAGCTTTCGGGAGTTTCACGCGTCGCCTGTTAATATTTTCTGAACCGTCAACGGTAACTCTACTTAAGACGATAATACTATTATTATAATAATGATTAAAACTCAATTTTAATTTATTGACGGCTACTGAAACACCGCAAACATTCAAATTATTAATCAGGTCCCAATCGCGGTCTTATTTCAACGACTATGTTGAATTTACTACATTATGATATGTATTACAATATAATCAACTTATAACTATGTATTTCAAACTATAATTCTAAATTAGGTACGGACGAGAAGTATATACAGTTCATATTTTTATATACACACAATACACTCATTGTGTATAATGTGTAATATTGTTAAATGAGGATATGGTAAGATAGAGGCCGCAGTTTCGTCAGCGTTAAATAATATTATGTTCAGCCGTACATCATCATTATTTCCATAATATTTGATTTTCTGTTCCAGCAACTGTTCCATACTTTGTAGAAGCACCGATTCTCTAAAAACCGATTTAAGGACAATATTTTGTGTCGTTCTTTGAAGCACTATGACAAGCCGTTGGAAGCTTTGACACTGTCGTACTTAACGATTTAACGAGCAACTTCTAATGCTTTTGCCTGAACCATCAGTTTAGACTTGGGCACGTTCTTATTTCTAACACGGCTGAACCACTCTAAAATGACTTACCTGACCCATTGCTCTGGAATCGGCGAGCTTTGTCGTTTGCGGCAGTTTCGTTGTATTGACACAAAAGCTCTTGTGCCCGCCGTGACGTACGAACATGTGGTCCGTTGGTAATTTGAATATGATACTACCGACGTATACCTATGAGATTGTATATTTGAGTTTAAACTAAGATTGTTGTCCATTGGTCGAGGTATCGGGGAGAAATATAGCTGTTCGAGTCGGCAATAGAAAAGGGTCCGTTACAGAGGCTACCAGGTGGATCGAAATCCAATGGAAATAATAGTCTATCTTTTTACGAGGATCTTATTATTTTGTCCGTTATAAGAGAGGTATTCGTTAAGACAGGTTACGCCTGTATACTTGATCACATAATATTCAATAAGTGACATCGTTGTATTGATTTTAGACTTTACATGTTATCATATTTATTTGTTTTTTCGGTCGATATCGTTTTATTATTCATTTACGATACAGTTGCTATATACGTTGTAGTCGGCGCGTTATTCAACGAGTTGAAAGTATAATATTATATGGTCTCGGAAATCTTTGTTTTTGAAATACAATTTTTTTACGGAGGGTATCCGGCAAAAATTTGTAAAACTACTTTTTTATGAAATCGTTTAACGGAAGACATACCTTTATTTATATTACGATTAAAGATAATATATTAAAAGTACTTTATTTAAACGTGATTCTTACAACAACCTTATTAATGTTCGTCTGAGTTATCATACATTTCGTTAATTATTTTTTGTGGTGATAAACGGGATAACGAATTTTGAAAAGAACGCCCTTAAAAAAATCAATATAATATGAACTTCCCCGGTTGTAAGTGAAATACGTCGGTTTGTACTTTGTTTATATTTTACAAAAAAAATTAAATTTATTTGAGTATTTGTACCTCTCGTAAACGTATACACCGTATATTCAACAACATGTGCTTTTTCGATCGTACTGTACACATGCAATTAGCTCATACAATAATACAAATTATAATGTTACATTTATGTGTCGTGATATTCACGTACTGCCAAACAACAGCTGTGCTTTCGAGATCCTTGTGATTCGAAACAAAACGGTTGTTGTTCGATCGGCGGCTGCTCGTGCTCTCATCGGATGGGAGCAAACTCACGATTTTCGCAGGAAGCGATATATATGATAAGTTCGAGTACTACAACACTCGGAGATGCAACTGAAATCATCACGATGACTGAGTATTCACTCCATGTGCCTATACAGTGTGCTTGCATTGACACAATACGTAGATAGGTAGGTACATTCAAGTGTAATATTCAGTGATATGGGTGTATTTGTTTGCCCTATAAAAAAAATCATTCGACATGTAAAATTGTGTAAATAGTAAATACGTTTATAAATATAAAACAAAGAATAAACAAGACATTTGTATTGCATACACTGTTCGATGAAAATTACATTTGACGAATTACATTTGTATTACACTGCACATTGAGAGGATCCTTAATATTATGAAATTTGATGATCGGCAGTAAGTTGTCAGTTGTCTGCCAACAACTTTCCCTTACACTGAAAATGAGGTCTCTACGTCGGCTGAGGTCAATAAAAGTTGTATGCAATTAAGTCGGTCGGCTAATTGGTTGGTGTGACGTAAAGATGAATTTCAGCCTTGTCGAATTTAAGACTATGCTACCTGATGTTATATTATACAGTTCAAAATTAATTTTATTTCTTAGTACTGTATTTCAATAAGTCAATTTTTCTAATCATAAAGGGATAAATAGGTAAACAATTACAAAAAAAAAATTAAAACCGTCAAAAATGCCTCCAAAAGTATAAAATCCACTAAAATGCAAAATAATTTTGTGGTTACAACATGGAATACTCGAAACACATATTTTGTAGCACGGAAAGCATCGTGTAAGACGTCCGAAAAACAATTGCAAATTGCAAATGCATTGAAATCCACGTCCCAGTTATGTGTATTGTGTGTATAAGTACGTCATGATAATATTAACCACGTACTGTCAAATAACAGCTGCGCCATCGCGATTCGAAACAAAACGGTTGTTGTTCGTTCGACGGCTGCTCGTGCTCTCGTCGGATCGGAGAAAACTTTACGATTTTCGTAGTTTGCGATGTTATAATATGTTATGATAAACGAAGACGGGGGCACACGATCGTGCTTTTCACACCTCGACTCGGCTCGCTAGACTTTCAGGCGTCGTAAAGTTTTATCAGTTGGGTACACTATCAGATCCAAGTCGCACTTCACAGCGCCAGCCATCTCCTCTTACGATCCGTTGAGATGACAAACGTGTGTGCTTTTTGTATTCAATGTGAAAACTCGCGGCTTCTCTACGTGGAATCGAATACATCGAACTTATACACTATGTATATATGTATTTATTTACAAATTGTTCTTATACATAAAAGCGTTCACTGTATTATATTATATACATGTGTAAATACTTTAATATTATATAATATTCGATTCGCGTTAACGTCTCGTCATGTATGGTTCTTTTTGTCCCTTTTTTTTTTTAGTTTTTTAGTATTTAATATACGAGTATTTTTTTTATACATTTTTATATTCTCGCGCATTACTTTATTGAACGAGTATAATATATTATTTTGTGATGTATGCTATATTGCGACCTAAGCATCATACCGGTGGATATTGATATGATATAATATAATGGCTGACAAAGCGGATTACGTACGGTAGATAATAATGCTTTTTCATATTTTGTAATATGGTATTTAGTTTGTCGGGAATTAATAATGCGGTCCAATTTGAAAATAATAATATAATGCCTAACGAATGATTGCTATATTAAATACCAATTGGTTTTTTTTTTTTATATAGATATTATATAATAAATGGAATGACCTTACAATGAGTACATGTTATTAAAGTTTCGGGAAAAACGTATATTTTTTTAATAACAATAAAAACGAATGTAATAGAAAAAATTTTCATTAAATATTACATTTATATCAACAAAAAAATAAAAGTCACATCACGTCATAGAGGGTTTTATACGCTAGAACAAATACTTATGAACTGTTTGGTCAACATTCATTGTCTCTTGGATTATTATTAAAAGCTTTGACACATACATTTTCCAATATAACCCACATTTTTTTCGATAGTTTTTCAGAATAATATATTCTCTTATATGTTCGAGAGTCGAGACCATTCTTGTGAGATTCCAGAAAAGTTGTGTACCTAAATTGCATATTTTTAACGCCGTGTAAAATATTGTATTGCTCATACTACAGAAATACATCAATCTAACAGTTATTCCGTGCGTTATTTTAATATTAGCATATTCTATGATACAATTAATTGAAAACCGTACTGTTACTAACTGCACCGGATATAAATAATATTTAAGTCGTTTTTTTTTTTAATTTTTGACATAAAAAATGCATAGTATTATTAGTATTTATTATAAATAATAATTTAATGTAAATGATTATGTATCCAGTAGACATTAATTATTGATTTTGAAATATTGATAACTGTTTAACAATTATTAAAAACTGGTTATATTTAATTTGAAAATGCACTATTTACAGATAATCAGTTTAAGAAGTATATTACGCGATGAATGACAACAACACTATTTGTACACTATATACAATATAGGTGCAAGGAAGAAACTGTTCATTTGGAAAATAACAATACTATAATTTTCAACCTTTTCTGTAAGTTTTTACATCATTTTTTACGATTTACTTTACAGTCAGTACCTACATCTAGTTTTCTACACTTTATTTTTTAAAACTTATAAGATATTACTAGTGATAAATAAAAATAAAAGTAACATACAAGGTGGTTCACCAAACATACCACTCCCATTTTTCCTTTAAAAATAAATGTTTTCAAAATCTGTTTTTAAAATTTTCGAATATACTAAAAACTATATTTTCAAATACTTACATATTTTATGCCATCTACAAATTTGGAGATCCAGACTTCCTTTTTCAAATAAGAATCATATATACCATTCTCATTACCGAGAATTGTTCAACCGATGACTTTTTTGGAAAAATTGATGTATAATCTAGATCAAAATTCAAACTTTCAGTTATGTTATTTAACTATATGTAATAGACTGAGAAGTCCATGATAATAGACTAATATTGAAGGATATATAGAGACTATGATGATTTGAATATCATAGATAGGTATTTATATTAAACTATTAACATTTTAATCATTTTATAAATTTATAAAAATTGTATAGTACGATAAAATAAAAATGATATATCCAATTTTAAAACCATTTTCATATTTTTGATAAACTTTTCTTTTTTTTAACTATTATTCTTAGTATTTACATTTGAATGAGCACTTAACTACTCGTTTAAATATTGATTCATGCATTTACATCAACATTGTTGAAAAGCTAACTTTCAACAATTTACAATGAAAAGGATTGGTTTTTATTTAAAAAAAACAAAGATTTTTCGGCAAAAGGCATTTATTGGATGCTATTAGAAGTATTTGAAAATATGGTCCGACATTCATAAAATATCAAAAATCATAATTCAAATTAATTCGATTACTGACTTTAACCTTGGTGAATCACCAAACTGAGTGGTCCACTGGTATACTTACCGTTTTACTGGTGCTTGTCTTTGTAATTGTAAATTGGGAGTGTTTGAATTTTAGTGTGATTTAAATTTATGAATATTAAGGAGGAGTTTTTTTTCCTTCTCACAGAGATTGGCTTTGCGTCCAACAAATTTATATTTATTTAATATTTCTAATCACCACATAACTGCAGTGCACAGTCTACAGTATTTGCCGCAAACACGTGCACGACCTTCAAAAATATCTCGTATACAAAATATATAAAAGACTCGCCAAGCGTAATGTGTTCATATCTTATCTTTGATGACATCATTTATCATTCTCCTCCATTGCCGAAATTGATAATATTATGTGTACACCCCGCCAGAATGATTATTTGGCCCGCGTGATTTTTAAGTATACCCGAACGGCTCTACATTTCAACATTCGCCGAGAATGAACACGAATAAGAGGCGAACGTGCAGGGTAATAATGCATTAGGTATTGCTTTTTGAGATGTCAGCAACTGCGTGTACATAAATTGTAAGGATAAAGTGATAAATCGCTTTCATGTGACACTTGTTCGTTAACACCGTGATGTATTGGTGTTTCATTGCTCCTACGCATAACAAAACCTAAAAGACGTGATTTTATAGTAATAATATTGAATGGCACTGGCCTTAAAACGTTAAAATTTAAAGTTTAAACATAAAACCGTTGTGATATGCCTGGTATACTTAGTTGAATGTCTCCTAGATATGGGAAAAATATGTTGTAGATTCCTATATTTCGATAAACATTTTGAAATGTTTTATTCTTTAGGGATACCTGGTATTGAAATGTAATAACGTTCATTGATAATTTTACTAGTCTGGCTGAATTAAATGTTTAGAAAATATTATAATCTACTTAAAACATCGTTTTATAATTTAGGAGGTAAGAATATATTTTACTTTGAACTAAGCAATATACATTTTAAGACCAAAAAATATTAGTATACATTTTGCAACCAAGTTTGTTTTTTACTTTCAAAAAAGATGTATTCATATTTTGCAGTCAATAGCCACATTAAAACGTTATAATATAGTGCTTATAATAAATGTTAGGCAACAATAAATGTTATACTACCTACCTAAATATCTTTTCGCTAAATTCAAAACTTTAAATTGAGAAAGTAGAAAACGATTTTTCACCACAAACAGTTATCCAAAACGCAATGTTCAATTTTAAATTGTATTACGTTTAATTTATGTAAAAGAATGAAGTTTGTGTGGTGAAACGTTGTCGTTTACAAATGAAACGGGAAAAAAGCGTATTTTAACGCAAAAAAGGATTTAATAAATAAAATAAATAGATTCAAGCAAGCAATTTATAAGTTAATTTCTGTAAATCAAATAAGTTTTTAGTTGACAGTTAAACAGCGCTTTTGAATTCGAAATTGTTTGTCTGCAACCAAAACTGCGATAAAAAGTTCCATTGTCTAGCGAATCGTGATAAATATTTTCAATGGCAAAACAATTTCGTGAACTTTTTTGATTCATTGATATTGCACGCTATGAGAAAAACGAAATATTTAAACAAAAATTGAATTAATTAGTGAAATAATAATTATCAACGTTCTCTTTATTGAAATATGGTGTATTAGTATAATATTATGATGGTGATACATTTGAAAAGTTTTGTTTGGATACAATGAAATGGATCAATGTTTAGATTAAAACATTTTATTATATTATGAGGGTTATATTACATAAGTTGGAGTGCAAATAAAAAATGAAAATTATTTACTCGTCGTGAATAACATGACCGTTGTAAGACTAATGATTCTTCTTCGGAGTTGGACATGAAATGAATAAAAAAATATTTGGGTCTTATAAAATGTATAACTTACAAAAAAAAGTCATGACTAACTTCAGTAGATCGTTAATCACTATGCTGTTACAATACTACAAACTAAAAAAAAAAAACAATATAATAATTATCACAAAAACTTTGCCAGTAACTTACCTACAATAGTTGTCTAGGAGCTGGTCAGACTATAAATACGTTTCTTTAGCAGTAGTAGTGTACTATTGTTTCTTAAAACGCACACGCGTTGGTAGGTAATTACTACAAATAACGAGTGGTTCTTGAACTCGTCGAATACTGTTGGTAGATAAAAAAAACCTAACGACTACAACTACCTATAATATTAACAACTAAGTATTTATTTCTGACGAACGGGACTAAACTAATAATTTCCAACTAACAATTTTACAATAGACTATGGTATAACTTTAAAAGTATAAAGTTGGTTATACTTCTAAGCCCACTGACTGTGCTGATGAGGAAATTCTAATCTAAATAGTTTAAGTATACCAATAAGAGCACATCCAAAGAGCAAGGGTTATAACACCCATCGAGAGTCGTGTCGTATCAAATTATTAAATGGACTAAACTTTAAAGGAATATTTGTTTTATTTTATAATTTATTACCATCATTATCTATTGATCATACTCGTAAGACATATTAGACATAATCAATGTATAAATGTTTTTGTCAATTAAAATCCAAAGTTATAGTTTGAATGTACTATATTGTATAATGTGTTAAATTAACCTCTCAACCCCTTACAAAAATCTTAGTTACCCCAATAAAGTTAACGATTCAGCTGTATAATATACTGTGCGAAATAAACAAAATGGCCTCAAGCCCCTTTGTTTCGAAATAAGTTCTAACTATTTTGACGGAATTTGATGTTTTAAGATGGTGGGATGGGGGTAGGGAAGGTCATCGTAAACCCCGAGACGGAAAAAACGATCACTTGAGCTTATAAAATCGTGCGAAAAAGCAACTAACATAATAATAAGGTGAAAATTGTAGTTTTTTTAAACCGAAATCGTATTCATATCGACGAGTGTTAAGTATTGTTGTTATGATAATCAACACTTTTCTCGTGGAAACGAACATCAGCTATGCTCCGCTGATGCTTCGTGTTGGAGATTGGGGTAGTTTTAAGTGGTGTCCTTTGATGAACAAATACTTAAGCGTAGTGCGCGTTATTCAGCTGCTGTAACAGCAGTTGCTGTTAAACAAGTAGTAACTTTGCTGTAACTTATTATCACAGTCACTTTTACGTGACACGTAATTTCGGCAAGTCTGCTCTCCTGACTCGATCAAAAACTGCTCTCGATCCAAAACGAGCACTGCAAGGCGATATCTGTCAACCCGTCGAATTCTATTCGATTTTTATCCGTAGTTTCTATAGCCCCGTTAAATTTGGATTATTTTTTTCCTTTTTTCATTTTTTATGGTGTAAGCATAATGTTCGTTTTACAATCTAACTTCTTTATTATGGAGATTTTTTAAATATTATTCTGGTAATTTTCTTAAGAAATGCATATTACTATTCATGATTTATGCATGACGTGTTAATATATTTTTCATGCATATGTTTAATATTTCTTTGCATATTTAACTCTTTTTCATGCTTTATTGTTGATCCTAAAAAAGTTGTCATCCTTAATTATTATAAGCTAGGCTTAAAAAGGGACTGAGTATGAAATATCTTTTTAAAATTAGGTTCGTTACAATATTATTCATCATTATTTAACCATCGCTAATTCTTTTTTTTTCCTGAAAATGATAGATTGTCTGTTGTTTATTAATTATTATGTACCTACTTGTGAGCGTGCGAATCCATCGAATATTGCTGATATTTAAATTATAATAATTAATAAGACATATCATACAATATTAAATGTGATTATTTTAATTAATAAAAGGAAAACAATTAAGATAAAAAATATATTTTTTTGTCGCTGTCGCTGAACACTTAATTACGCATACTTTCGACAAAAACCGTCTTGTTCAAACAACACATCGATCCACGCGACGAACTATGGTTGTGACGTTTCCACCCCGTGTGCCAGCGGATGTGTGATTGTCACTACGGCTGAACACATTTTGTCACATACTGGAAATGAGTACGGTTTCTCACCAGACCGGAAATGCACTTGCTGTTATGACCGAAAGACTCGTCACACAAACACACGCGCGCGCGCTCGCGTCACAGGCAAATAGTTTTTCATCATATATATGCGTGTGGATGTGAGATTTCCACTTTGGTCGGACGACTTGTCACACGCG